CTTTTCTGTACAACTATATAAGCTTATTCATGTCTAATACAGCACTCATCAAAACAACTCTACTTATTTACTTACAAATCTGTCTTATCTATTGATTAGCGAGTCATGGAGAACAGAGACTGTGCTGTGTTCATTTTTGTTACTCAACATAGTGCCTAACAAATAGTAGTGCTTAATTAATAAACAGAAATGAAATCACTCAATTTTCAAACATGTATTAAAAGTCTGCCTTGTGTAATTAGAAGACTGAGTATTGTTAAAATATTAATACAACCCAAAGAATTCTATAGGTTCAATGCAATCCTTATGAAAATCCCCATGACATTCTTTTGAGAAACAGAAAAACCCACCTTAAAATTCATATGGAATCTCAAAGGACTCTGAATAGCCAAAATAATCTTGAAAAAGAACAAAGCTGGAGAACTCACACTTACTCATTTCAAAACTTACTATAAAGCTACAGTAACCAAAACAGTGTATTACTGGCCTGAAGCCATACAGACAAATGAAATAGAACAGAGAGCTCAGAAATAAGCTCTCACATACATATATATTCAAAGGTTTGGTAGAATCATACATACAGGATGAAAGGGGGAACTAACCAAGAGAAACAGATTTTCCACGAGACTACATATCATAAATACTTGCACAATGATCCCCCACCAATCCTGCTGCCAAAAAGTTTTCTCTTAATCCTTAAGACAAAGAAGAGCCAAAACAAGATTTAAAGCAGACATTTGCTTTTGAAAAACACCTCTGTGTGCAGTGGAGAAGATGGAGCCATCTTAATGAATAAATGAAAAGAGTTATGGAGATGGATGGTGGTGATGGTTGCACATTAAATAGAACCACCAAATTGTACACTTAAAAGATGGCAAATTTTAAAACTGTATTTTACCACTATAAAAAAAAAAACTGAAAGAAAAAAAAGACTGCTATGTTTAAGACATTATATTTAGCATTGTAATAAGCTGTTATTAGGCATTGTATTGCCTATACTGTCCCCTTCAATATGTGAGACAAAATGAATTAGTCTAAACAAAGAAACAGTAACAAAAAGCTTTAGAAATACCAGTGTACTCAGTGAGTAAAAGAAAGCGAGATTGAGAGCCTAAAATAAATTAAATCAGATCTGATCTTTCCCTCTTCTCATCAGCATATAGGCCATCCTGATTTCTTCCCTTCTCTCCAAAATAAAATAAAACCACAACGACATGCCAACTTTTTTGGGCTAAGTATTTCTGCATAAGCTTGTTGATTATGGACTGGAGTGCTGAAAACACTTTCAGGCATACAGAGATGAACAGAATTAGGATGTCCTTCAATAGAGCAAAAAAGGTGGATCATACCAACAACCTACCTGTTACCATTAAGTATGGACAAAAAGGAAATGAAAGAGAATAGATTTAAAAACCATCTAAAATGTTGATTAGTGGAAATCAAGGTCAAGGTCTGCTATCTTTGCGTGCTAACTCATTTCATCTCTATGTCCATGACCTCTTGACTTCTCTGAAAAAATGGCACTGTCTTACAAAGACAGAAAAAGCTGCCAGGCTGTTTTTTTTTTCAAACTTACTTTTCTCCAAAAGCACCTTTATAGGCTCCTAACGTGCATATATCATAGGACTTATCTGGCTTCAGAAGCATTTGGATTAAAAGAAAGAAGATTTCTTTACATGATCACAGGATAAACATAGGCATAGTTCCTAAACAGCATATCAAAATCAACAAACAACTATTAAAGAAATATTTAAAACAGTAAATATTCTAAAAGCCAGTATGTTTATCATGATACTAATAGAAGTAGCACATCAGTGACACAGTGGCAGTGGTGGCGGCAGCAGCAGCAAGTGCCATTTACTGGTTGTTTTCTCGTTGCCAGGGAAGAGGCGCTTTATGAACCTCTCATTTAATCATCATCACAACTCTTTGGGTTTGATGATAATGCAGAACCATACACTATACTACCCAGGGTTACCTATTTCATTAAACTTTTCTTTAAAGCAAATCAAAGTGTCCAAAAAAAAGTAAAAACAAACTTAGAAAGTAACTTTTAAAAATGGAATTTGAGATGTTACTTTGAAATCCTTTAGAAAAATTTTTATGCTTAAAACACACACACACAGAAAAATTGTTTTCAGGGTCACTACAGAAGCTTCCTAAAATAGCACTTGGAGGTTAGTGCCATTTTCATTGTATTTAAATGGATTAGCCTACAGTCATTACTGCTCAAAATGATAATAATCACTCTAATTCTGATTAAAGGAACATGCAAGGCCATTCCAGATAAACTGTTAAGTCAGCAGCAACCTCAATCTCCCAGGAAAGTCTTTGAGAAATACTCATAGATCCTGTCTGTGGCTCTAGGGATACTCCTTATTTGCAGTGAAGCTGATATCAAAGTAACTTTTACGATAAAAGAAAATTTAAAGAAAAAAGCAAGCATCACTAAGGAAAATAAATCTGACTTTTAAAAAAAACTTTATTTTAAAAACCTCTATTATACAGTTTTGCTCTCTTTCAACAAATACCGGGTGCTGCGTCAAGATATTAAATTCATTACTCAGAAAAATCTTTGGCAATGTATTTGTGACTAGTATAGCAATTTTGGTCAAAGTGCTTTTCTTTCACATCCTTGTACGATTGTTTAACTTGTGATATCTGACTTCTTAAAAAAAAAAATCAATTTACGCCAGGTGTGGTGGCTCACGCCTGTAATCCCAGCACTTTGGGAGGCCGAGGCGGGCAGATCACGAGGTCAGGAGATCGAGACCATCCTGGCTAACACAGTGAAACCTCGTCTCTACTAAAAATACAAAAATATCAGCCGGGCGTGGTGGCGGGCGCCTGTAGTCCCAGCCACTCGGGAAGCTGAGGCAGGAGAATGGCGTGGACCCGGGAGGCAGAGCTTGCCGTGAGCCGAGATCGCGCCACTGCACTCCAGCCTGGGTGACAAAGTGAGACCCTGTCTCAAAAAAAAAAAAAAAAAATCAACTTACTCTTGGGCTTATAAGACCATTTTCTTTTACTTTTAGGGTCCAAATTTCTAGTGTCTCTTAATTACGAAAAAAAATTACAGTGGGTCAAAATGCTTAATAAAATCTTGTTAGGATATGATTTATTGTAGTTAATCTGATTTTTTTAAAGGTACTGTTTTAAGAAAACTAAAGGAATGTTTGATTTGTAGCTACAGAAAAAAATTACACTTTTAATCAAGAAGAAAACAGTTTTTTGACAGGCTGCAGGGCAGGGAGTACGCTGAGATAACCTACCAGCAAATTCAGTACAATATCAAATAATAAGTTGCTGATCATAACTAAAATAATATGGATTTGATTGAAAAATAACAATTAAGCATATGCTTCATTTTACACTCTGGCTGTGTTTCTATAGTTTTATTTAAGCCATATTTTGGAAAACTGAATATTTTAAGCGTTCAAAAAGGAATTTCTACTACTAAGAATAACCCTACGTTAAATGTAGAGTTAATGCCAAAGTAATTTGCTTGCAGATATGAGTTTATTTGAATTGTTTAAAATGCCATTTGTATTCATGTATAATAAAGCACCATGAGTAGTATCATGATGATGTCAGAACTCTTGTTGTTACAAATCTGATCCAGAATGGAAAGAGAACTGGAAAAATGCATTAATTCTTATTCAGTTGTTCTCAGAGTATGATAAATTTTTACAGCAGTCCATTAACAGTTCTAATGGACAAGTCGCAAAATTTGAACTATTTTATTTATTTGAGACAGGGTCTCACTTTGTCACCCAGGCTGGAGTGCAGTGGCGGAATCTCGGCTCACGGCAACCTTCGCCTTCTAAGGTTCAAGAGATTCTCCCACCTCAGCCTCCCAAGTAGCGGGGACTACAGACATGTGCCACCACACCCAGCTAATTTTTGTATTTTTAGTAGAGACAGAGTTTTGCCATGTTGCCCAGGCTGAGCTCAAGTGATATGCCCGCTTCAGTCTCCCAAAGTGCTAGTGTTACAGGCATGAGCCACGGCACACAGCTGAACTATTTTATATATTTTATTTATTTTTAAAATTAATTAATTTATTTTTTGAGATGCAGTCTCACTCTGTTGCCTAGGCTGGAATGCAGTGGTGCGACCTTGGTTCACTGCAACCTCCAACTCCCAGGTTCAGCGTTTCTCCTGTCTCAGCCTCCTGAGTAGCTGGGATTACTGGCATGTGCCACCATGCCCAGCTACTTTTTTTGTATTTTTGGTAGAGACAGGGTTTCACCATGTTGTCCAGGCTGGTCTCGAACTCCTGACCTCAAGTGATCCACCAGCCTCGGCCTCCCAAAGTGCTGGGATTACAGGCATGAGCCACCATGCCCGGCCTATTCTATGTATTTTAATACTAGACACTATGCCCTAATTCTTTCAAGTTTTTTTAAAAAATAAAACTATCGTTGCCAAAATATATACTTTTTGGTAAGTATTCTTCAAATGAAATTAGTCAGAGTACTGGTTAAGTGCAGTAATTAAAAGCAGGGTTTAAATCCCAGTTCTTCCACTTGTTAGGGCTGTATAATCTCAGAGAAATTGCTTGATCTTTCTATGCATCAGTTTCCTCATATTGAAAGGGAAAAATTACAGAATCTACCTATAGTTGGCATGGTGATTAAAAGAAGTTAATCTTTATAAAGCACTTAGCACAATGCCACAGGGTATGTGTTCAATAACTGTGTACTATTACTGTTGTTCTGGATAAAACCAAGAACAGCAACTATCTGTGGCATTTGCAACAAATGCCAAATTCTCTTCTCCTGTTGAACCTCAATGTAACAAAGTGAAAGGGGGCAGAATAAAAATTTCTCACCAGGGCACAGTAATGATTTCCATGATCATGATTTCTGACCTACCAGTTACCTGATTTACTGCAGTATTTTCACTTCCTTGTGCTTATAACAATTGAAATTAGATGCACAAAACCAACAAGAACTGATGACGTCCTTCATTGCGATGTCAATACAGAGCTTACCCACCTGTGTAGCTCTTCTGTTTTGTCTTCAGTTGGACCTACGATTAGTAAACAATGACGAAGGACAGCTGCCATTACACGGAACTGATGAGAATCACTCTATGGCAAATAAAAAAGAGGAGAGGAAAAATTGGGGGTTGAATGCCTTAACAGTGGGGTCTGCTACTTTACTACATCTCTTGCCCACCCCAAACAATCATTCTTATACCATACATTGTAGATGGCAGAATATCCTAGGAAGAATTCCTGAGGCAATACTAAGTAAACAGTCACTATCTCATATGAACAACCATAACCACTTCCAGAAATGCTGACCTAGCCACTCTGGTTTACCTTCTTAAGATTCCACTAGAGATTTTTTTTCATTTCCAAAAAGCCTAAATTCGTTTGTTGTATGGTGCACTGTTCCAGTTTACTAATCATTATAAAAGTTCCAACAGATGTGATGCTACCAGGTTATTTCAGAGACTGGTTGTACATCCTTAATAAAAATGTCTCATCTCAACTTTCAAAGCAATAAATCCACCAACTTCATTTTAATCAATCTTAATATCCTAATTCCCCCAGAACTACCAGCAAGTAATGAAAAACAAGTGATCTCCAATGTTTACTCATTGGCAGTGGTATTAAAGAGACACAGGCAGTTAGAGCGAAGAAGGCAAACAGTAGGAAATAAACTAAGCCCTGAATAATCATTTGGTTTACTTCTTCATTTTTAGTGAGATCTTGATTACACTTTCTTTAATTATCTGCATCGAAGTCATTATCTTTCTTCTTCCAGATTTTAAATAATTAAGAAGACATATGAAATTAGAGATAATTGTGATAGAGAGCCTGGATACGCCATATTTCAGGCAGACTCCAACTACCTCAAAAACTACTAAAAAATTATAAAACTACTTTTTTTTTTTTTTTTTTTTGAGACGGAGTTTTACTCTTGTCGCCCAGGCTGGAGTGCAATGGTGTGATCTCAGCTCACCACAACCTCTGCCTCCTGGATTCAAGCGATTCTCCTGCTCAGCCTCCTGAGTGGCTGGGATTACAGGTGCCCGCCACCATACCCGGCGAATTTTTTTTTTTTTTTGTATTTTTAGTAGAGACAGGGTTCTTTCACCATGTTGGCCAGGCTGGTCTTCAACTCCTGACCACAGGTGATCCACACGCCTCAACCTCCCAGTGTGCTGGGATTACAGGTGTGAGCCACCGCGGCTGGCCAAAACTTCTTAATACATCATTGATTTCAAGTCCATGTGAAGTGATATATTTTCATAAGTTATACACATATATCTTATATTCATATATAGAACTCACATAACCCTTCTAGGAAGATGTCTCTCATAAAATCTAGCAAGCAATTAGGGCACACTTTCACAACTCATAATGTGGACAATAATATTTTAAACATAACATCATCATGTATAGAGTTGGATGAGAAGAGGGCCTCAGTGGCCTAATGGAAATAAAGGCACTGCATTTGGGGTCAGGAGTCTAGGTTGTCACTTCAGACAAGTCATATAGTTTCTCCAAGCCTCAGTTTCCCCACATGAATCTCCAAATACTGGAGGGTTCTGTCAGGGTTACAAAGGATTAAAGAAAATGATAAGCATGAAAGTGCTTTAATACTTTCAATAAAACATTTGAAGGTTGGGGGAAGGATAACAGAGGAAGGGAACAAAAGGCAAGACTGATAAGAGCTGAAACAAATGATAAATCATTGTAGGGGGAAAGGGGAAAAACAAAGAGGGACTACTGGAATGACAGACTCTAAGACTGGCAGGGTTGGAATGAATGTTGTCCCATTCACTATCCATCTCAAACGGCTGAATTAAAATTCTCTCATGTTAAATAGCCATGTGAAATGCATTCATTACTTAACTCTTGATAAGATCATATTTCCCTTGGTTTTAAAAATTAACTAGGGATTACACTTCCTTTTATATTATATTTTCCTTTATTTTAGACAATAATCTATTTTCATGCTGATGTTGACAGGCTTTCGTAAATCTATCCATTTTGGTCTTTCCATTATTTGCAGCTGCAAAGCAAAATTCTACTTTTTACCCTAGTTCTACCTTTTCCAGTTTTGATAACATCAGCTCCCAAGTTGTATCCTATGTCTACAATGTCCTCTTTTACTCTAAATCCACTAAATTAGCTCTATTTCTCTACTCAAAACGACTACTAAAATCCCTGTATTGTTTGCCTCTGCTGTGCATCACTGGTTCCTTTGCGCACTCCAGGTCTCAGCTAAAGTATCTTCTCTGAGATGACTATTTTTTCTCTCATGAAATCATAATTCGTAATTTCACATTTGTTTACTTGCATATACTTTGTTTCCTCCACTAATCTATTACCTTAATGAGGAAAGAGGGTGTGTGTTTAATAGGTCATCAATAAATTTTAATGTAAAGTATACTATACAAACAGAAACGTGCACAAATCATAAGTGTAGAGCTAAATTTTGACAAAATAAGCACACCCATACAACCAATATAAAAATCATGCAATGCCAAGATTAAGAATTTCAGAATTCTTTCCATACCCCCTTCAAATGACCATCTCCTGTCCCTCACAGGTAATTCTAACTTGTTAATGTCACACACAGGTAGTTTGGTTGTTACTGAACTTTATACGTATAGAATCATAAAATACAGACTCTTGTGTTGGTTTGTGAGATTCATTCACATTACTCTGTGTAGTTGCAGTCTGTTCTTTGTCCTTGTTTGAGAGCAGTGCTATCTGAAGTATGTTTGTGTTCCACTGCTGCTCCTCACCCTGTTCATCACTGGTCTGCAACACCAGGAGTACAGACGGTATATGTGAACATTTAGAAACTTTTGAGCAGTTTGGCATTGTGTGTAATATTGTATTACACAAGAGTTTCATTCTGACAGATTTTTGGAGAAAAAAATCTGGTCCTTCACCTACAGATAGGTTAAGAAAGCACTACTATATGGTATTCCAACATATGAATATGTCACAATTTACTTATCTGCTCTACTCCTGATTGACACTTGGATTGTTTCCAGCTTGGGGCTATCTTGAAAAGCGTTGTTGTGAACATAATTTTTACATGTCATTTGATATCTACAGGTATACACCCTAGAGAGGAGATGCTGAGTCACAGGTTATATCCATATGTCAAGCTTTACAAGGTACTGCTAAGTGTTTCCAAATACTTAACACCAATTTATACCCCACCAGTTGCTCTACGGGGGCACCAATCAATACTTGTTAGAGTCAGCCTTTTTAATTTTAGTCATTCTCAGGGATGTGTAGTGATTTCTTGTAGTATGCATTTTTCTGGTGACTAATAAAGTTGGACACCTTTTCGTATGTTTATTACTCATTGAGATATCTCTTTTGTGAAGTTCCTGTTCAAGTCCTTTGCTTATTTTTCTATTGGGGTGTCTGATTTTTATTTTTACGGATTTGTAGGACTTTTTAATGTATTCTGAAGAGAGTCATTGCACATATCCTCCTCCTGGTGTCTTGCCTTTTTGCTTCTTTTGATGAATTCACTTTAATGAAAATCGATTTGTCATTTCTTTCCTTTATGGTTTGATCCTTATTTTGTCCTGTTTTAGAAATCTTTGCTTATTTAAGAAATGTTTGATTTCTATGAGATAAAGTCATGAAGACACTCTTCAGTGAGCTTTATTATTTACCTTGTATATTTAGGTCTCTTATCCATCTCAAATTAATTTTTTGTATATGGTATAAGATAGGGATTCGAATTCATTTTTTCCACGTGGCCATACAATTGATAAAGCCCCGTTTATTAAAAAGCCCATTCTTTCACTACTTTACTTCAAAGTTACCTGTAAGTCAGTTGACTGTATCGACTCTATTTATTCTATTCCATTAGTTTATGTCTCAATAAATATTTGTTGGATAAATGCTATCATTTAAGAAGTCTTAACAAAGTAAACACTATTTTCTACTGTTGGTTATTCTACTGTGTGACTTTCCGCAAGTAATTGAAACTCTCTGATCTTCACTGTCATTTGTCAAATGGGGTTAATGCTCCTGTCTCACAAAGATGCCAGTAATGAAATGCAATTGCTTTTCATAAAACATTATATAAACATAGCTTATACAACTGTTTATTAATTGCTTCCTGATTTAGTTTTGATATTTTCAGGGCATCAATATTCTCTCCTCCTGAAATGATACCACCTTCAAAGGCTGAGAGAGAAAAGAAGTCCGTAAGGATGAAGGGCAAATGAAGAGAAAGAGAGCAAGCAGGCTTGGTTATGATAGTGAAAATCAAAATGAGGTAACATTAAAACGGAGAAAAAAACTCAGGAAATTCTTTGGGATCTCTTTATATAGCTTTCACATCTTAATTACAGATTCCACTACTGCATATTTCCTTCAAAGTCTCTAAAATAATCATGGAACTAACCCCTTTTGTGACATTCCTAATTAACTTCTATGGACACTCACTGTTTTATCTCATTCAAATGGTATCCTTTGACTACTCAGATACTTGTACTTCTCTGTGTGCACTGGGTTCTCTGTTTCTAACATGTCTGCTGGTATGTACTTTCTTATTACGTTGCACTGATACCTTGGAAGCACAGGAGAAGGGAATGTGGTCTTCATTCTAGGGATCCCTTACAGTCCCAAGAATAACATGCTCTCTTCCATCAACAGAGATACTTAGAAAAGTGTTAAAGCAGGAGGAGGACCATTTCAATTAACTTTTCTAAAACTGACTTTGTATCCTGCTAAAGAAATCAACTGGCTTTTTAAAACACACTACACTTTTAGGAAAGGGAGACAGAGGCTGATTCTACACGTGGAAATAAGGCTAGCTACATTTCCCACCGAATGGAAAGCAAACTCCAAATTAATCTGCTGATGGCATCAGCAGGCAGGCACGAATTTAACACTGAGGCAAGAATCTAAAATGAACAAATTGCACTAATTTGCTAAACCTCAAGAAAAACCTAGTCATTAATTTTCTATTTTTGGTGAACTGTAAATGAAAGTGGTCATAAAAATAACTAAAACAGTTTAAAACCAAATGTTTGCATTTTCTGTAACTGTAAAGCTGTGAAATAGGCAAAGATTTTAAAAAGTGAAATGTCCAG